CTTCGTGAACTCGGCAACCAGGTTACCGTTTGTTTTTTTTTACCTCCGGTTTTTTTTTGGCGGTAATCATAGTGGTGGTCTANAGTTACACAGTGCTTACAACTGTCTCAGGAAGTGAAAGCACCAGAAAAGCTATCAAGTCATACGCAGCTGTCATCCGTACGCAAGGAAGTAAGCACAAGATGCCGAACACCCTTAGCAGGATGCAGCGCACCCTTCATGCGACTCGCCGAATATCTCACGGCGCTTCGCGCTTGGTGATGTGAGAGCCTGGTCCGGTGAGAACCCGGCGTGCTCCGTCCCGGCTTTGTAGGGATGCGAGGTCAATGGTCTAACGACTACGGCATGCACGACTATGAGTACCCCCCCCCCCCACCCCCCCCCTAAACACATACACACAAAAAACAAGTTGTGGCCCGTCTACACCTCGTACTCATCATGGGCTCCATGTCCGTTGCTCTCACCACATCGGGAAGGTGAAGAGACCAGGGCGTGTGAGCGCGTAGCCGACGCCCTCCTCCACCTGCGCGAGGCCGATATCCCTGTCCTCCAGCTGGCCCCACGACCTCATCAGCATCGTCACCCCGCCAAAAATCTTGACGATCACCACCCCCGTGATGCACTCGCTCAGGTCGGTCGCCACGAACAACGAGTGGGCACCCTGAAAAACCACAAAAGACAAACGTGACACAGCAGCGGCAGCAGCAGCGGTGCAAGGTTCCGCAAAACCAAGAGATGGACAAAGGGCACATGAGAAGGAGCAGTCATCGCGCGAGGCAACGTAGCTTTAGCAGTGTTGCTGCGAGCGATGCTACATCCTTTTGCTGTTGCTGGTGTCACGTCGGGCTATGTAGCCCGGTTGGTGGAACGGCGTAGACAGCAGTGTGTTGGTTTGGCGCAGGGCAAGCGCGCCGCTTGGACAACGAACGACCAGCGGGTCGAGAGACGTGGCACGCCGTTAAGAGTGTTCATACAGAAGCGCTACTAATAGGTCGAGTCATCTAATGTGCAGATCCGACGGTAGACATACATGCCTAGTACATCTGCTCACAGCAGCGCAGAAGAACGCGTTGGTTTCATCGCATCAATACGGTACAGCAGTTTTAGCTATCCCTCGCTGCAGAATGTGTTCGTATGTACGCAGACGAAAAAACGAATGGCCGCCGTGCCCAAACTCTAGGCTCGGGAGGTGCAACACGCAAAAAGGAACACCGCGAAATCGACAAAAACAATAGCTAGCAGCAGGAGAAACAGGAACATGATGGTCGCATCAACAAGCAGCGACAGCGGCTCCCCCGTACCTTGAGCGCCGAGTCCATCTCCGCGAGATACTGCTTGACAGTGACACACTTGTTGGTAGGGTCGAACACCTCCGAGGACAGTCCGCACACCGTGCTCAGGTACTTGAGGGCCTTCAGCGGGGAGCTCTGGCACTCCGACGGCGGCGACACCGCCTGCGCGATCATCTGGTCCACCGCCGACGTCGGCTTTCCGGAATCCGAACCACCGCCGCTATGTGTCTGTTCCGGCGAAGTCGGCGAGCCTTTCGTTGCGTTCTGATTCCGGCGCCAGTCCCCCACCGCCCCCGACCGGTTGAACCCGCTCACGGCACCGTCCGGCTGGTCGTACATCTGGAACACCAGGTCCAGCGACACGTCCTGCTCCGACCGGTCCCTCAAGAGCTTCCCCTCGGGGCCTATGGCGTTGCCGTTGTGCATCGTGTGGGCGTGGTCCAGGTACCGCTTTCCCGCCGCCTCGTTGCCGCGCATCGTCTCGACGGTGGACAGGAGGAGGTACGCCTGCACGACCTCCTTGTCATTGCAGTCGAAGCACTCTCGGAGCGCGCTCCTCATGAGCCCGAGATACCGCACCGTGGACTCGTCAGCCGCGCCCAAGATCCGCGACCCCATCGCCACCACCCCCCAGAACACCGCAAGCCTGGCCTGCCGCCGGGTCTCCGGCTGCTTGATCGGGTTCGCCGTCGCCAGGCCCCTGGAAGACACGGCCGGGGACAGCACCTCCAGCATCCCCTCCGTCACGCTGCTCTCTGTGGTGAGGGGGACCAGGCGGTTGAAGTCTCGGAGGTAGGTAGCCAGGAAGAAGTTCTCGACGTGCCCCGCGAGGCCGACGGCTCCAGAGGCAGAGAACCTCCCCGCCGAAGGGTCGACGTTGCGCCGCACCCCGCCCGGGTTCGCGCGGGCAAGCTCGCCGCCGTATGTGCCCTCCTCGTACAGCACGCCGTCGATGCGGAACTGGCGGGAGTACAAGACAAACGCGGCGGCGACCGGAGGGGAAGAAGACGAACAATAAGATCCACGGGGGGAAACTTTTTCACGTTGAAGATCAAGGATTGCTACACACAAGAAGGTGGCCATTTTTCACGCCTGTTGCGCCTACGGCTAAGCTCTCTGCAGGGAAGAGCTACGAGGGCAACATGTGTGAGTTTGTCGCGACGGGGGATTTTCTACGCACAACCGCGGGTCCCGGACCACGAGGGTCCTCCCAAACATGGGATGAGATAGTTGCCCGGAGATATCGGCGCGTGACACGACACGGCTGGCAGCAGAAAGGACAAACGAAAATCACGGGAGTGAGCAGAACGCTACCCACATTTTTCACACACCTCAGCGGTGCGGTGCCTACACCAGTACGCGTCTATACTCTTGAGTTATACAGTGGCACAATATCCACACATACTCCACGGTGTTGACCAATGAACGATCCTGTGCTCTCGCCACTTCCTCTTTCGATGAGGAGCTACAATGCTACAGCAGTAGGTAGGTCACACGGAAGAACATCGCGAAATTAAAGAACTCGAGAGATGTTCACTATCCTTCTGCCTTGCCATCAACCATGTCGAAATATATAACCATATTCACGAACAACCGCTTCTCAAACATTTCACGCTAGGCGGTTGCAACCCACAATCTAACGAGCATCAAAATGATTCGAGGACACCTGCAGACCGGGCGGGCTACTGCACTATGACAACCAACAACACAACACAATATAAGGACAAAGATAAACCGAAAACCCGCCGAATTTGCTGAAATTTGGCGCGAATGTGGAAGCGTAAGGGCACGAATCGGTGGTGCTACGTACAAGTTACCCTTTTGCCACGGCTCGGAAAAGCCGACGAGAAAAGGCCTGTAACGAGCTAGCTCACACCGCTCATCAAGTTCGGGCATGTTCTTCTTGTCCGTATTTGTTGTCCGCGGGAAATTTACTCCGTGGTCCTTGATTTGAACGTAGTCGGGCTGTGTCGGGGAAACATGAACCACGGTTGTAGCCGTTCGGGATTTCATTCTTCCATCGAAAATCGCCGACTCCTCGACGGTCGCCGCCACCGTACGTTTACACACCAGACCATCTCGCACGTCATGCTCCCAACTACAAGGCGCTCCCGAGCCAGCACCGCGCCCGCACACAACGGCACACACACCTTCTTTTTCCTGCCGCTCTTTAACCTCGGGCTGTAGACACACTGATTTGGTACACCCGTCTGCTCAACAAAGAGGCACAAATTGGGAAGGAGGGAGTAAGCTTAGCCCACACGGAGAGGCATCGGNGGGGGGGGGGGGGGGGGGGGGGGGGGGGGGGACATTCCGAACACATTGCGTACGGGGTGCTTGGAAGCACCGGTGCGTCAAACACGTTGAACGGAGATACTTGTACATCGCAACCTATTACCCAGCGAGTTGACAGAGTTCCACTCGTGCGCGTCCGTTTCACAACCAGAGTTAAAAACAAACATGGGCGGTGGGAAGAGATTATCAACCCTCGACGGATCTCTTACGGTAAAAAGTTACCCAGCCGTGGGCCGCGCGAGTACATACGATAGCAACATGAGCGGCCCTTTTTTTTGGCGGGAAAAACGGAAAAACGGCACCGAAACAACAACATCACCCAACAACCTTGGGCATGCGCATCCATGGACCATCCCCCCCCCCCCCCCCCCC